TTGAATCATACAATCAATGTAATTGGCAGCATGACCAATTATATCGACCGAAATTCTGTCGCGCCACATAAGACATACACCCCCTCCCAGGCCTTGACTGTCCACTGCAAAACATCTGTGGAAACCTAGTTGTGGACTGATCTCTTCACAACGACTCCTATGTATTTTTGTTTCCATCAGAAATAATATACCTGGCCATTAGGATTGTATGGTTGCTAGGTTCCCCAGACCGCGGCAATTCCACGACACAATTCCCATTTGATAGAGTATATGGGCCTGGACCCCATGGCCCACATACTCAACGGCCCAAAAGACACCAGCGGGACACCCGCATCGGTCAGAGGCACGCGACGCCCAAGAGAGAAGACATCACCCGGATTCTTTGGGCGAAGCCCAGAATCCGCACCGTCCATGGACCGGGGTTGGAAGTTGAGAAATATAATTACTCACTTTCTCTCTCTAGCTCTCACTTCTCTCTAGAATTAATACTCTATCACCATTCTTAGCTTTCAGTCCCGACGCTCGCCCTCACCGATGGTAGTCTAGAGAAAAACCGGAAAGCTAGCGCCGCCCCTGCCTAAGCTAAACCCTATTCAGGGTGCCGTCCGCCATACCTCCTACATACTTTGTCAAGAAAAGTTATACGAAGTACTTTGTATATTATAATTAAATAAATGGTTCTCACGTATTATTGTCGTCGATGCATCACACGAACTTGACATATAGTATTAGTATATAATGTGAAAGGAATATGAACTATTTAAGGCATTTCAAATATACGTATTTTATTGGAACAAATTATATAAAGTATTTCAAAATAACGAATGAAAGTTTTACAAATTATGCTTGGTTTTTTAGAACCAATTTGATAAAGCATTATAAAATATGGAATGAAGGGGGTGTTTGGATCTGATTCTCAAAACTAATTCTGCTCCTTCAGGGAGCAGAAGCAGAAGCTGGGGTGTTTGAGGGGTTCTCACTAGAACCCTCCCATATACTACGTATATATATATGTGTGTGTGTGTGTACACACACACACACACATATATAGATATATATCAGGATTATTCTTGTCAGGAATTTCCGGACAGGAGCCCCGTCCGGAATTTCCGGACAGGAGCCCCGTCCGGCCTCCTCCATTTGGGGGCTTTCCCGGTGGTATTTTTTGTTCAATTTTTTTATGTTCCTCATCAAGTCTAGTTCATCCATACCAAATTTGAGCAAAAATTCAATCGGGAAGTTTGTCAAATGATTTTTGCAAGTTAAATGGTCCGGAATAAGTATTTTCCGGACTAGTTAACTTGCAAAAATCATTTGACAACCTTCCCGATTGAATTGTTTGCTGAAATTTGGTATGGTTGAACTAGACTTGATGAGGAACATACACAAACAATTTGAGCAAAAAATACTACCGGGAAGGCCCCCAAAAGGAGGAGGCCGGATTGCGCTCCGGTCAGGAAATTCCTGATCGGAAGATTACTCTATATATATAGGGAGCGGTTCCGGTAAGAACAGACGGGAGAAAAATTGTGCATATAATCTAAACTTCATATAGAATATGCTTACAAAATTTCATCAAGAAAAACCCACTGGGAAATGTCTCAAATAGTGGCGGCCGAACGGCAGTTCCGGCCAGGATATCCTGACTGGAATATTACTCTGTCATGGAGCATCAATTTCCAAATAAACTACAAATAATATAATCATTCCATTTAGAGAGAATATGTATATTTGGAATGTTTTATTATAATAGATTTCATTCCATATTTTATAATACTTTATCAAATTGGTTCTAGAAAACCAAGCATAATTTGTAAAACTTTCATTCAATATTTTGAAATACTTTATATAATTTGTTCCAATAAAATACGTATACTTGAAATGCCTTGAATAGTTCATATTCCTTTCACATTATATACTAATACTATATGTCAAGTTCGTGTGATGCATCGACGGCCAATAATACATGAGAACCATATATTTAATTATAATATACAAAGTACTTCGTATAACTTTTCTTGACAAAGTATGTAGGAGGTATGGCGGACGGCACCCTGAATAGGGTTTAGCTTGGGCAGGGGCGGCGCTAGCTTTCTGGTTTTTCTCTAGGCCACCATCGGCGAGGGCGAGCGTCGGGACTGAAAGCTAAGAATGGGAATTGTTTCGTGGAATTGCCGTGGTCTGGGAAACCTAGCAACCGTACAATCCAAATGGCCAGGTATATTATTTCTGATGGAAACGAAAATACATGGGAGTCGTTGTGAAGAGATCAGTGCACAACTAGGTTTCCACAGATGTTTTGCAGTGGATAGTCAAGGCCTGGGAGGGGGTGTATGTCTTATGTGGCGCAACAGAATTTCGGTCGATATAATTGGTCATGCTGCCAATTACATTGATTGTATGATTCAACTCGACAAAGATGATCCGAAATGGAGTTTTACTAGTTACTACGACTATCCAGAGTGTGTCAGGAGAAGAGAGTCTTATTCTAATTACTACGAGTTTATTTGGAAATGATTTATAATACTAAATACAAATAATTCTAATTTATTTTGTAGCTAATGTAATGGTTCTCTGGAGCTGTCTGGACTCTTCTATAATAAACAAAAAGCTCACATTAATATATAAACGCAATAAGCGTACTTATAAATTTAAAATACTCTTAAATATGCAAAGAAGTGTATGAGGAATTTTTAGACATCATATTTGTAATATATAAGTGTGGATTACTAAATAAATAAAGTATTTGTTGTGGCATTATGTAACATAATTAGGTTGTGAAAACTAATTTTGTGCGTATGAAACTGCTTTTTTAATTTGCTTTTTATAAACAACGTTTGTGATTTTTACTTAAATCATATTAGTTAGCCATCTCTGACTAAATTATTCATATATTGTTTCCATCCTAATATGTTTAAATATAAAAGGAAACATACACCATAACAAACATGGTTAATAAATGATAATAAGTGTTTAATAGGAATATATATACAATTACTTTAAGGAACGGTGAGCAGGGGCTAAAACTATGCATGCTACTACAAGACACCGAGTAAGTAATATTTTTTGTAGAATACCTATTCATGTATGCATGACTGTAGACATTCTATAAAATTTATTTGCATATATTTGATTGGAGGGGAGCAACTATACCATGTGTAATGTGGGGTGAAAAGGCTGAGTACGTTGAAAAAGAGATTAGAAGTAATCTCAAGCCACCTTTTATAATTGTTATTTGATTGGAATTTACTAAAACATTTAATGGTAACTTATACTACGTAATACAATTCTTATAAAACAATGTTAATATATAATATTTTTAATAACGCATGCCTTATTTTTTACAAGGTGAAACATATGTGACTATGTTTTTTGAAAATAGCATTATTGTTCTGAATGGAAAGGACAATAAAATCAATTAGATCTATTATAAAAAATATAATATTTAAAAAATCTAGCACTGCATTTGATTGATTATGTAGGATCCTAAAAGAGCAGTCAACCTCCTTTGATCTTACTCGCCAAAGACTTAGTCACACTTCTTACAAGAAAATGAGTTCTGAAGTCTTATTGTTAGAAGTTTAGTTTATGCCTCTAAAACAGTTGTTAAATTGATAATGTTTGAAGAGGTAGTTCTCTGACTACATCAAATTTATGAATACGAAATTTGTTAATCATTTGTATCACATATACCATTTTTCGATAAAGGTTGGGAAATATGTTGTTTTGGAAAGTAATATCCCATCAAACAGATCCCTTCCATGCAGAAATGTATACAACTGAGTTTGTTAATAGCACATCAATGTATGGATTGCCTAATCATGCATGTTCTCTATTTTACTATTAGAGCACCAATAATGTTTTTTTAGAAATATTGATCAGGCGGCAGGATTATGCAATGGAATGAGGGTGGTCATAACTAAACTGGGAAAACACGTGTTAGAAACCAAAGTAATTATTGGAAAAGCTGTGGGAGATAAGGCTTACATACCGGAAATCTCATTATCACCATCGGATACGACAATGCCATTAATAATTAGAGGAGACAATTCCTGTGATGGTATGCTTTGCGATGCTAATATATAAAAGTCAAGGTCAAACGTTATCACAAGTCAATTTATACCTTGAGCATCAAGTTTTCACTCAAGGTCTGTTGTATGTTGCAGTATCAAAGTGAGGAGTAGAGAGGTCTTAAGATACTCATTCGTTCAAATGAAAAAAAAGGTTCTCCACCAAGTCTATTAATGTTATTTATAAGGAGGTTTTTCAAAACCTAACCATATGGTATCTTATGTGTTTGGTATTATACATTTCACATGTTTTGTACAATATGAATATTTAATTACTTATGTATATCTAAGAGTATATATATTTCAAACAGTTCTAACAACCTCACTCCGAGGCCACACCCGGGTAAAACAAGGATTAAATGTCATACTACAATCACCATTTCTATGCCGACATGAATACATGATCATTGTGGTATACAATCGCATATAATCATGTTCATTGCAATTATTACTATGTTCACTACACATCAAAAGTTTTTTTATTCATTTATTTATTTTATTCGTGTATTAATCCTTATTTTGTTTCTGGCTTCGTCCTTGATGGATAGTAATGTTTCTATATATCGGCAATGTCCAAAACAATATGAAGAAAATTTCTTTTGTACGTTCCACATGTGCACACGTTTGAGTACACGATTCATTTTATTTGTGTCGTAGACAATTTTTTCATCGTATTTAAGACGAATTGTTTGTGACACCGACAAAATTTGGGAGAAAACCTCGCAAAAAATAGGAGAAAAGTTTTTCTGCGTTACACAATTTTTTTTAGTTGGTGTGATACACGCAATTCATATTGAAACCTATTTACTATACAAACATGATGTGTATAGACATAAAGCAGCTTTGAAAAATGAAGTTGCGTACACATATTAAAGAGTACTTACTAATTGAGCCGTTACGCCCTCTTCTTTGGTTGCTTCGCTTTCCAATCGTTTATTCACAGCTCTCTACTCCAAAGTAACGTACAATCATCTTTGTCTCACAATCATAATATAATATAATTTCATAAAATAAATATTCAATACAATGTAGTTTTACTTTTGAATCAATTGAAAAATAAGGTATATCAATCAAACATTCACACAATCCATATTATCTATACATAGTAAGCAAATCAATTGAGTCCTTAAAAAGAAAGAGATCCCTATATATAATGTATAAATAAATGCCAAAAGGATCGGAAGGTATTCCTATTCCTTGATTTGTACACCCAGGAAATGGAGCAGAGCTACAAAGGTTACTACACGTTAGCCATGGCAGCCTTATGGCTGCTTCTAATCCCGGCGGTTCGGGGATGGGGAACAGACGGGCATATGATCGCCTGTCGGATTGCCGAGTCGCGGCTGAGCTCGGCGGCGGCGGTCGGAGTTGAGGAGCTGTTGGGGGCGGCGTCTGCAGAGAGGCGGAACCTGTCGAGTCTGTGTTCGTGGGCGGACAATGTGAAGTTCGTGTTTCCGTGGTCTTCTGCTTTGCATTATATCAACACCCCCGATCATCTATGCTCCTATCGGTACAATAGTAAGCCCCCAATTACCTTTCATTTCTTCAATAAATAAATGGTTATGGTTTAGGATGTGTGTTTTTACTCATTTCACTTCCCACCAATGAGTCAAAAGTCTTATTCAATGAGATTACATGAAATCAAATGTAAACACAATAGATAAGAATAGATAATATTAGACCGGGACCCTTTAATATTAAGATACTAATGAAAGATATGAGATTCCAAAGGAAAAAGTAAATTTGATAAGAGAGGAGTAATTAGATATCTTACACGCACTATAGTACTCCGTATATACGAGTACTACGTATAATGTTTTACTATCGTATTATATTTGAGCAAATATTATACGGAGTAATATGTTTAGAATGATATGAAAAAAAGTTCAAATTGCTTCACGTGTGAAACAAATTATTTGTTTCATACTAAGTTCAATCGGTTGTGAAACAAATAATTCACCACACCCCTTAGTTCAAACTGACATGTATAATATCAGAATGTACAAATGGGACAAACAAACCTTTAACATTGTTGATATTCTTAGAGGCCGTTTGGCAAAACTGTTTTTGGCTTATCAGGCTTATCAGCCAACTTTTTCACCAAACACTTAACTTAAGCAGAAAAAGTAAGGTTAGAGTTACTTTTGCTGGCTGTATTGGGTGAAGTTACTGTAGATGATCATTTTAGCTATCTTTACATATACTTTTTTCTTTATTTTGTTAATAAAATATATTTTAAAAATATTTTTTTCTTAAATCAGCTGAATCAGCCAATGCAGTCACTTCAGCCAGAACTTCATAAATTTCAGCACAATCAGCCAGATCAGTCGAATTTCATGCTACCAAACGGACTCTTAATTGGGTGCAAAACAACAATCAGACCACAACCAAATTGGACTTTAATATAATGTAAAGACCCACATTTGCATAAAAAAAAGTCAAAGAAGAAGTAACCCAATATCTTATATACGTAGTTGTGTTTTACGTAGTACTCCGTATTACTTTATATCAATCTGGCGTGGTCAATTACTCCAACAAGAAGTGATAAAATATTTTAGATTACATTCAAACTCAAAACGAAAATTTAGAGCAAATCAGTTCAAATTTAACAAACTTACAAACCCAAACCCAAATCAAACCACTCAAATCAAATTAAACATGTCATACTAGTTTAATTAGACTAGACCAAATCAAGTACAAATATTGTAGAAAAACATAAAATTGTATAAATTCGTCATAATGACAAAAGGTGGCAGCATAATCAAAACAAACTTGTAGCAACAATTGTAATGAAATTTGGTAAAAACATTATAGGAATTGCTCAAAATAGAAGTAAAACATAGGTAAACTTCTATAATAGGACTAAATATATGTTCTTCTCAAAATATGACTTATTTAATCCTATTAAAAGAATAAAAGAATATATAAAAAATCCTAAAAGAGAGTAGACGAGTCTTATTTTGAAAAAAAAAATCAAATCCTATTTGAAAATTTTGCAATGTTTTACTTCTATTTGAAGATGTCTCAAAATATTAATACTTCGTGATGGATAATGATGTTGTTTTAATGTCTTCAGTCTTTTATTCGCGGTTACAATTTTTCTCATTTGATAATATGTACGAAGTATTTTGTAAAAATTCGATTTTCATAACCGTCTATTATTTCAATTAAGATTGATCGTGGATCAGGAACATAGTTAGGGAGGTCACGACAAGAACATCTTCAATGTAACAATGTGCACGATGCATATATGACATAACAAAGATAGACAAAAGTAAATAAATTGATGACATTTCTTTCTTTCTTATCACAACTTAATTTGTTTTTGACAACATTTTTTGAACTATATCAACCGTTATGTCTACATCTAGACGTATTTGATATTATGAAAAAAAAACTTGTGATGGCACATGTATATCTTGCACATTGCCATAGTCACGAGAGTCGACAAGACTCTCAATTTTTTTTTTAATTATTTTAAACTGGTGATATGTAGGGGATTGCAAGGATGAAGGTGGCAAAATGGACAGATGTGTAGCAGGGGCTATCAATAATTACACCTCCCAACTTGTCAACTATGCCCATGGCGATCACTCCTCCTGTGAGTCATTCCACACTGTCCATTTCAATATTCATAACAACAAATTCCCACCCGTCTATTTTAAAAAATCGTTTTCTCTATTGTCTCTGTTTTAATGTTCTGATTCTTTTCACAATGAAGTACGGATAGCCATCTTTAAATTAATTAGGAAACTAACCGGAAAAACTTCAAAGTGTATTTAAGATTTGGATTGGAATTAGTTGGATTTTGTTAGTTCCAGCCGTTGAGGTTATCAACGGTCGAAAATGTAATATTAAATTTGTTTTGAGTGTGATTCAAAATAGTAAAAGCCTATCTTCTTCATACACACTATATGAGTGTGCATTCATCAATCTCTCTACACTTGCTTAAATGAAATTAAAGTAATAAAAATGTAAATATGATAAATTAATCATTACGGAGTAAGAGATAGGGGCAGATAAGTCCTCGAGCTATTTGCGATCCTGAATCAGGCTCTTGAACAAGAAGGCTTTCAAATATACCCTCAACTTTTTATGAGAAATTAGGGCATCTCCAAGGTTGAGGTGCATTGTTATTACACCTTGGCAAATGCACTTAGTGGATGGGTTTGTCTTCTCCAATGCAAAGAAGAATGGATGAAGTGAAGCTTATGTGGCAAATAAAAAAGTGGAAGGAGGTCTAGCACAAGATCCATATATGGACCTTCGGTTGCACCGTCTGACAATTTGAAATAAAAAGTAATGGGACCACTTGCATTGAGGACCACTCCTTTACTTTATTCTCAATTTTCCATTATTTTACTTTTGCATTTGTCATTCGCAAGGAAGGCAACCCTCTTCATTTTTTACTCGTAGGGTGTCTAATGGACCCTCATTTTTTGTAATATTGGTCCTATTTTAAAATAGATCTTCCCACAAATTTTGCCACATCACCTACAATCCACTTAGAACATTGGAGTTGCTCTTACCGGCACCAGCGGATAAAAAGCATTTGATTGCTTGATTTTCAAATAGTTGAAAGGTGCATTTACAAATAGTTGAATGACTTATTTGCCCCTTTACTCATAAATGAAACATATTCTCCAGAAATTATGACCTATATACGGAGTATGTTACTTCTTTTGACCATATGTTCATACCCATAGAGAACAGATCGTATCAGGCCGGCCTGACGGGAACCGCTGTCAGGCCGAGGCCATTTGGCGACCTTCCCGGTCGAATGTATTGATGAAATTTTTTGAGCATGTTCCTCATCAAGTCTAGTTTATCCATACCAAAGTTCAGCTAAAAATTCAATCAGGAAGGCAGTCAAACAAATTCCCTACTAAAACTGTGCACTATTTATATATAAACTGCGCAGTTTTAGTAGAGAATTTTTTTGACTGCCTTCCCATTGAATTTTTAGCTGAAATTTGGTATGGATAAACTAGACTTGATGAGGAAAATGCACAAAAAAATTCATCAAAAAATTCCACCGGGAAGGGCCTCTGATGGCCTCGGCCTGACGGCGGTTTCCGTCAGGCCGGCCTGACAGGATCAGGACTCCATACCCATATATGTTTCTTCTTTTGACCATATGCATTGGCATCATCAACAGATAATGCGACACAAGCACTGCTCTTTCTATCTCATTTTCTTGGGGACATTCATCAGGTAAATCAATCCACATTCCTCTAACTTACTCAAATCTCAAAACTCATCTGAGCCGAGGAATGAAAACGGGTTCGATTTGATCACACTTTGATTTATTTGGCATTTGAAATGCAGCCTCTGCATGTTGGATTTACCACAGACAAGGGAGGCAACACAGTTGATGTCCACTGGTTCACTAGGAAAACAAATCTACACCATGTGAGTAGCTAGCTCACCACCACTTCTACTCAATATGCTCCCTTACATATGCATACATTATTTAAAATCTCAATCTCCAGCATTTCTCATGTTAAAAAATCTCATAGGTATGGGATACCAGCATTATTGTTTCTCATGTTAAAAAATCTCATAGGTATGGGATACCAGCATTATTGAGACAGCTGAAGAACAACTCTATGATTCCCAAGTTGAAGAACTGATTGATGCAATTGAGAAGAATATCTCGGTAAATAACTACTCGTAAATATTACTCACTCTGTCTCAAAATAATTAAACGCTTGTCCTTAAATTGCCTCTTCTTTCCTTTTAAATGAAAGGAAGGATGAAGTACTTTTTCCAAAATTTAAAAATCATACTACTTATTTGTTTAATTGTTTAATTAAACAATTGAGGTGGTATATTTGTCCTAACTTTACAATTACTTGTTTTATTGTTTCAAATGAACTTGAGGAAGTATATTTGTTCTCAAACATGTATTTCAAGGGTATGTATTTGTATGTCCTCCCTATTTAGAAAAGTAGAACTTTAGAGTTGGTATGTATTTGCAAATTTATGAACAAAGTAATGGAAAATTAAAACCTTACATTATTAACAAATATATGATAAAATTGTACATAAAAGATGACACCACATCCCTGAAGACCCACAGAACTAACCGGACGCTTATCTGGGAGGATGTAAGTTGAGCTTTGATCATACTCTGATGAAAAGAGAGTGATATTCTATCCGAAGTCATTGCTTGAAGTTGAACCAAAGATCTCTCTTGTGTCACCCTCTTTTTATCATGTGAGCTACGCTCCCCAATAACTTTTTTTTTTGAGAAAATTGTACATAAAAGGGATGATGAGACAAAGATAATGAGACTGAGGGAGTATATATTTTGTCAAACAAAACACTTTGTTTGCATGGAAGTAGTAATGCAAGTTGTTCTTTATCTCCATTTCTTGTGATGTGTTCTCCACTTGATAGAATGGATGGGCAAGTAAAGTGAAGTCATGGGAGGCATGCTCCAATAGAAAAGAAGCCTGCCCAGATGTGTAAGCTCACTAAACACACTTCCATGTTAATTAATGTGGTCCAACATAACACACTGATAAGTGATAAGGGAAAAATAACATGGGAATTCTTCAGAAATCAAGTCAATGCATTGAGTGAATCCATTTTGTGTAGTTTTCTTCCAGCATATATTAAAAGCATCTTCTGCACAGATATGCATCTGAGGGTATTGAAGCAGCATGTAATTGGGCATACAAAGGAGTGGAAGATAATTCAGTATTGGGAGGTATATATATCTGCATTTTCTTGGCCCTCTGCTCTAAAATTAGATTTCAATGGAACACGCAAGATCCTAAGGATTAGAATATACTCCCTCCGTCCCAAAATGAGAGTCCCATACTTTTTGGGCTCAAAGATTAAGGAAGTGGTTGAAAAGGTAAAAGTTGTGGTTGAGATTTGAGTATAATAAATTGAAATGATGTGGACCACATCTTTCCTTCCAAAAAGGGAAACAGGACTATCATTTTGGGACAGCCCGAAAAGGAAATAGGGGACTCTCATTTTGGGACGGAGGAAGTATAAATGTTTTCAAGGAAAGCTCACACTTTTGGTCCTTAATTTATTCAAAATGTAGTCTTTATTTTTTAATATTTGAATGTGGTCTTTTAAATTTAACAACATAGACTTGTAGACCCCACTGTTAATAGTATAACAAATGGCCTACATTATTAACAACATAGACTGTATTTTTTTAACCCAGAAGGCAAATCACCAAAATCAGTGGGGTAAATGCCGGTACATAGACTGTATTTAGAACATATTATTATAAAGTTAAGAGATGATATTGGCAATGTGTTGCACGACTAAGGGATTATATTCCCACAATTTTTAATGGAGATTGCCACATTACCGATAGCAAAAAACGTAAATAACTAAAGTCACAATTTATTTCACAAAGTTGAGGAACTTTTGCGAAAATTAAAAGATAGAGATTGCATTTCAATGAGTGATAAAAAAATATTTTTCCTATATTCAATATGACATTTATTTTGTTGAGATTTGGAGGAATAAAAGACAATTTTATTAATGTAAAATATTGAGTACAAAGGTGGGGAGTCTCTCTTACTCTCACTCTTGAGGATGCTTCACTCTCTTGGTGGTGATGGAGTTGTGTCCATCCACCTCTATTTATACTAGCTAGCCTAAGGAGGTGAGAGTGTTTCTAGATCCTTCCACATTAATTACATTCTAGATTATTCTCACATCTATTACATTCTAGAGTATTTCTATCTAACTCTCATTCAATACTCTATCTAGAGAATTCTACACTTCCTAGAATTCATAAAGAAGATTACAGAAGATCCTAGAGAACTTAATAAAGAAGATTCTAGAAGATTCTAGAGAGTCGTTGACTTTTCAACACTCCCCCTGAACGACTACTCTATCTTATTGCAGATCTTGCAACCATGCCAAGTTGATCCCTCAAGCTCTCGAACTGCGTAGTGTTTAGTCCTTTGGTGAACAAATCAGCAATTTGATTTTCTGTCCTGATGTATTTCATCTCAATATCTCCTTTAAGGACCTTTTCTCGTATGAAATGATAATGAACCTCCACATGTTTTGTCCTTGCGTGAAAGATTGGGTTCTCCGCGAGCCGTATTGCTGATTGGTTATCACAATGTAATGTTATTGGCTCGTCAGTTGGTTGATGAAGATCTTTTAGAAGTTGCATCAACCATGCACTCTCTTGAGCTGCCATTGCTGCTGCTCTATATTCTGCTTCTGTAGTTGATAATGACACTGTTGGTTGTCTTTTGCTACGCCATGACACAGTGCCCGTCCCAAGACTAAATGTGTAACCTGTGGTAGAGCGACGAGTATCATGATCTCCAGCATAATCAGCATCACAATGGCCTACCACTTCAAATGATGCATCTCTTTTATACAATATGCCAAAATCCAAAGTTCCTTTTACGTACCTCATTATGCGCCGGATTGCATCTAAGTGTGACTTCCTTGGCTTCTCCATGAACCGACTCACTACTCCTACCGCGAACATGATATCCGGCCTTGTGATTGTTAAGTAGATAAGACTTCCAACAAGTTGTCTGTACATTGTGGAGTCCTCCAATTCTCGACCTTCAACTATGCACATCTTCACATTCGGCTCTATAGGAGTTGATATCGGTTTGCAATCAAGCATCCCAAACTTTTCAAGTATGTCTTTTGCATACTTGTGTTGGCACAGGAATATTCCTTCTTTAGTTCGTTCAACCTCAAGGCCCAAGAAATGTTGTAGTTCTCTAAGCTCTTTCATTTGGAACCTCACTGATAAATTTCCTCGTATTTCATTGATCTCCTTCTCATGATTCCCGGTGATGATTAGATCATCCACATATATCAATATGACGGATACTTTCCCACCGATATACTTCACAAACAAGCTTGAATCAGAAGGAGCAATTGAGTAACCACTTTGTACCAAGAATTCAGCTATCTTCCCATACCATGCTCGTGGTGCCTGTTTCAATCCGTATAATGCTTTCTTGAGTTTGCACACAAACTCTGGATGTGATTTGCTTATAAATCCCTCAGGTTGCTCCATGTAGATGCTTCGATCTAGCTCTCCATGTAAGAAAGCATTCTTGACGTCCATTTGCCACAACTTCCAAGATTGTCTTGTTGCTAGTGCTAGTAGGACTCGTACAGTAGTGATCTTTGCTACTGGGCTGAACGTCTCATCATAATCAAGACCATACTTTTGAGAGAAACCTCGAGCGACTAGGCGTGCTTTATATCTTTCAATTGATCCATCTGGTCGAGTTTTCAACTTATAAACCCATTTACAAGTTATTGGACGTACCTCTTTGGGTTAAGGAACCAACTCCCAAGTCTCGTTCTCTCTAAGGGCCTTGATCTCCTCTTCCATTGCCTTTTTCCATTCGGGACTTTGTGAGACGTCTTTGAAAGTAACTAGTTCTTTTGGCCCATTGTCTTCCATTAGTGCCGCATTTGCATACTTTGGGTTTGGCCTCCTTCTTCTTGTCGACCTTCGGAGAGACTCATTTGGCTCTTCAAATTCCTCATACTGATTTGGCCTCTCTTCTTCAATAATCTTGTCATGACTTCCAGTTTGCCATGGACCTTTATAAATCTCAGGTGGTTCTTCATTTGTGTCGTCTTTTTCTTCTTCATGTTCTTTTAAGATTTCTTCAACTTCTTGTGACTCTGGAAGAACAATTTCTTGAGATGCCCACCACGATGATGCTTCATCGAATACCACATTCCTGGAAGTGTAACACTTTCCGGTAGTGGGATCACAACACTTCCATCCTTTCCTTTGATCATCATAGCCCACGAATATGCAATGGATTGCCTTCTTATCAAACTTGCTACGTAGGTGATCAGGAACAAATACGTAGCATACACAACCAAACACCCTGAAGTGACTTACTGTGGGCTTGATATTTTGTAATTTCTCGAATGGTGAAATGAATCCAAGCTTTGCTTGCGGTAACCTATTAACCACATGGGCTGCCGTTTTCATACACTCGGCCCAAAAACGTGGGGGTACATTCTTCGAGTGCAGCATACTTCTTACAGTCTCCGCCAAGTGTCTATTCTTTCTCTCTGCAACCCCGTTTTGTTGAGGCGTACTTGGGCATGAGAATTGTCTTCTTATTTTACACTCTTTTAGAAATTTATTAAATTCTTCAGACGTGTATTCTCCCCCGTTATCTGTGCGTAGGCACTTGATATTGTGGCCTACTTCTGCCTCAACCTTTTCTTTGAATACCTTGAACTTGTTTAAAGCTTCTGATTTTTCTTTCATAAAATCAACCCAGACAAATCTTGAAAAATCATCGATGAATGTAATCATGTACCTGAAGCTACAAACTGAAGGTTGCTTTACCTTCTCGAATACGTCTGAGTGTATTAGCTCTAGCGGCGCTTTGGCTCTGAACTTTGACTCCTCGTATGGAAGCTGATGAGCTTTTCCATATTGACACCCAGCGCAAACCACATCATCGTGGATTTCTAGTTTGGGGAGACCCTTTAGCATTTCCTTCTTCATCATCACCTTTAATTTCTTGTAACTCACATGCCCAAGACGTGCGTGCCACAAGTCTAGTGTCTCATTTTTCCGTGTCTTATCTACATATGCCGTTTGTGCAGACATTACATAGATAGACTCAACTCTTCGTCCCTCCATGATCGGTTCCTCATTTTCTTATAGATGCCGATATACTTTAACATAGTCTGGGCCGAACACCACATATTTGCCAGATCTTGTGAGTTGTGACACCGATAGTAAATTCTTCTTCATATCTGGCACATGCATGACATCTTGAAGCTCCACTTGCTCAGCATTGAATCGGGGAGTAATCTTTGTTTGGCCAACGTGAGTGATAGGTAGTTTTGAGTTGTTTGCAGTGACTACAACTCGTCGTCCTTCATACTTGTTGATGTTTTCTAATTTGCTCATGTCACCCGTCATCTGCTTGGAGCACCCAGAATCTACTATCCAGTCATTTTCATAATTTATGAATCTATCACTCACTGTGACAAGAGCTGTTTCTTCTTCTTCCTCTTCTTCAATGATGCAAGAAGCTGCAAGTTCTTGATCATTGTCCACTGCATAGGCCACTTGAAAATCCCATTCTTCTTCACTATTGCTTTCCTTTAGAGTTGATGTTGCTGCATTTCCTTCAACTCTTTGAAGTCTGCAATCTCTAGCAAAATGACATTTCTTCCCGCAATTGTAGCACTGGTCGTTGCTCCGTCTGTACTTCTCTTCTTTATTTTTATCATGACGGGCTTGATTAGCTCCCCCTCGATGAGAGCTCCCTTGTGGCCTCTTTCGCCAATCTTCATTATGTGGATTTATATTTGTTGGTCTTGCGCTTCTTCTATCTCGTCCGAAACTCCTTTTATTGCTATATAAGGCGGTCTTATCCTCTTTGATTGAGACTTTAGATATTTGTTTATCTAAAGCCTCTTGGTTGGCTAATAGGCTCTCTAACTCCGTTAGAGTTGGCTCTTTTGCCCATCCACGGGTAGCGGTAATAATGCCATTAAATTCCGGTCTTAACCCATGGATTATGATTCTTCTTTTTCTTGTATCGGTGATGGCATTTTGCGGATCTAATTTTGATATTTCGTCACAAATTGCTTTGACTTTATTAAAATATTGACTCATCGACATATCTTGTTGAGAGACCGAGAGAAGATCATTTTCCAACCGTTGGAGCTTTGCATCATTCGTCCTAGCAAAAAGTGCCGCCAAAGTATCCCATGCCTCTTTCGGAGTTTTTGCATCTTTGATGTGCTGCAACAACTCGTCTTCAATTGTTACAGATAGAACATACATGGCCTTCCCCGCTTTTATCTTCCATTTCCTTAATTCCTCCGCATTTGTGGGTGGCGATGTGTTGTCATTACTAATGATGTCCCACAAATTTTGTCCAAACAAATAAAATTGCATACGAACACTCCAAGTGTTGTAGTTGGAATTGTTAAGTTTTTCGACGCCACTTACCGAATTAGAGATATCCACAGTGACTTGAATATATGACGATCAATATTCCAAGCAAGTTTGGTCCCAGACCAATCGACTTCACAATCCCAGATTGTGCACTAATAGTACCTCTGCGTCGCCTTAACTCTTCACGGACAATCGCCCCCGATCACCGGCTCTGATACCAATTGTTGAGATTTGGAGGAATAAAAGACAATTTTATTAATGTAAAATATTGAGTACAAAGGTGGGGAGTCTCTCTTACTCTCACTCTTGAGGATGCTTCACTCTCTTGGTGGTGATGGAGTTGTGTCCATCCACCTCTATTTATACTAGCTAGCCTAAGGAGGTGAGAGTGTTTTAAATCCTTCCACATTATTTCTATCTAACTCTCATTCAATACTCTATCTAGAGAATTCTACACTTCCTAGAATTCATAAAGAAGATTATAGAAGATTCTAGAGAACTTAATAAAGAAGATTCTAGAAGATTCTAGAGAGTCGTTGACTTTTCAACATATTTATGTTTTTCAATTGACTAAAAATTACTATGCTAAGTTATCCTCACTAGTCATGTACAAAAAGAAGACAAATATCAGGTCTTAGATTAGTGATCCAGTGAAATTTGAAAATAAAACATCAAATCTTAATATGATACTATTAGAGTTTATTAGGTTTATCCTAAACTCAATGGTATACAAACTTTTGACATTGGCCATAAGTTTGAAATTGATCTTTTAGGAAATGACTTGAGTGTTAATGCAATCAACACATCTAAATGCATGTTAACTTTTAAATATAAAATCAAACAAGAAAAAGTGAAGACATCAATAGCCTTCGTTATCAAACATTTAAGAAGACTATGTTAATACATAGCGGAAGTTTTTGCAGATGACTACTTCTCAACACGCTTACCAATTGTCCAACTGCGGCTAGCTCAAGCTGGGGTGCGTTTGGCAGCAATACTAAACCGTATATTTGGATGAGATGGAAATTAAATTACTTGAAGGGTTGCTGAGGCTCTGTTGATATTGATTGAATGTACCAAATCTAGTTCTGTATGTGAATCCATGAAATTCACTTCAAAATTATGGCAATCTTTAGTTCATTAATTGTAAGGTCAAATGTTCTTTAAGGTCAAAAGTAATATTATCAAAAGAAAGTTCAAGTTCTAGAGTATAGAGACGCTTTCCAAATTCTGTAGCTAATTCATTGTGATTATGACATGCCAGATTGCCAATTCTAGCATGGTATGAATTACTCGTAAAAGTCAGTTTAAGATGATGGCCATCTTTGATTCATATTAAGGGAGTGTTTGCAAATTGCAATTGCTTCTGCTTAAAAAAAAAACACTTTTGGAGTTATTGGGAAAAAGTGATAAGTAGTAAAAGTTGATAGTGTTTGAGAAAAAAGTGATTTTGAAAAGTAAAAGTTGGTAGTGTTTGGTAAAATAAGTGCATTTTGTGTAATAGAAAAGGGAAAAGCATTTTTCACACGCAAGCCGAGAAAATGTAAAAATTGGTAGTGTTTGGTAAATAAGAGCTTTTTAAGCCAAAAGCTGAGAAGTGCTTTTTTTAAGCTATTGCAAACACTCCCTAAGGGGTTCATTGCACCTCCACGTCACGAAATGTTCTTTTCTATTATAAATGATTTCTCCAATGCAAAAAAATACTCCCTCTGGTTCTAAATAAACTTCACATTTTCCTTTTTGGGTAGGTCCAAAATAAACTTCACACTTCCCTTATTTCCTTATTTGGCAAAGAAATCTACATCAAAACAGTGATAAACAATGTCAAACAGTGCCAAACAGTATCAAACAGTGTCACAACAGTGTACTCTACAGTAAAGTAAAATTTATTTCCTTAATTTGTGTGAACTCAAAGCGTGAAGTTAAAAAAGAACTTGGTCTCACCGAATTGAAGGTCTCTTTGGAAACCTTAGCTATCATCTCTTGACAAGTTAAGAATGCACAGTGTGGGCCTATGAGCTAGGACACCCACTTACTTTATTTTAGTTTCTTTTGTTAATTTTTTCATTGGAGAGGTCTCCGAATGAAGTGTCTCCATTTTGTAATATTTCACCAACATATATGGTAAATGCATCTAGTGCAAAATTTTGCCATTTCAGCTGCAATAGATCCATTGAATTAGAGATTCCCAAAGGACATCTCCTAATGAGAAGTGCATTACACTTCCACACGAGCAAATGCATTATTAAAATAAAAATTTACTCTCCCATGCTAAATAGAATGAAAGCATTACAGCTGAGTTGGCATTTGAAAATATGGAGCTAAGTTTAGGAGGAGGTGCATATTGGGATCATGGTTGTCACTACAGTTGTAAACGAATCAAATAATTTGTGCTCGATTCGCAATTCGAATTCGTATAAGACAATTCGAATTTGAAAAAATCAAATACAAATACAAATAAGAATATTAAATTTGATTCGAGTTGTTATCATACAAATAAGAATATCAGTGTATTCGATTCGAATATTAATCAAATATATTCGATTAATAATAACGGTAATATTAATATCAATATCAATAATAATAGTAATAACACTATAATAACTTTTAAAAGATAGCAATACCCTCAAAGTTTAGCCCATATATATATATATACACTTTTGCATATAGATTCCAAGCCCATTTTTAATAAACCAGAATATAAATACGAATACAAATCAATTTTTTGGTTCAAATGTCTTTCAAATACAATACAAATAATAATGCATTTGATTTGAAGAATAAAATTAGAGTTGTTTGACTTTGATACATACAATTATCAACTTGTTTCAAGCATTATAAGTATAATTTCTGATATGTGTGTGTTAGTGTTTATTTCAAAAAGTTTGAAATAGATTTACATTTATTAATCATAAAATTAATTCACTTTAGTATATTGGGCACCATCTAAAAATGCATTGATCCATTAAATTTAAATTCTAAAAACGCATATTAAGTCGTAACATGCATTTACAACATACAAATACGAAGTATAAGAAAAGTTATTTTAAAGTGATATTTGACTAATATTTAACCTATGCTCAAATCGATTCGATATTCGTATATGATTCGTTAATTATTTGTATTGTTAAACAAAAATACAAATCGAAATTAATATTCGTTTCATATTTGAATTCGAATTCGTATTCGAAAAAATTATACAAATACAAACACAAAATCTCATTATTCCACAAATCCTTTGGCCACCCACCTCCTTTTCCCCTTCTTTATTTTGTTTTCTTTTATTGTTTTGTTTTACTACATTGGAGTTATTCAAATAGACCCTCCATTTTTCTAAATTCTTGGCCCACATTTGAAATAGACCTTCTCCATATTTTGCACCTTAGCATCAATGCACTACATCATTGGAGATCAGATGCTCTAAGAAAAGGATCTTGACTTTTTATGTATGCCAACATAAAATGAAGGGAAAGTTCTCGAAAAAGGACTAAAACAATTTGAAAATTCCAAAACAGGACTACTTTGTTTCTATTCCTAAAATAGGAGTAATTACTGTCAAATTTGGAAAATAATGTCATGTTTGAAGTCCGATACTGCCAAAACATGGCAGAAATTAGTCCTATTTTGGGAATAAAAACATGGGAGTTCTATTTTGGAATTTTCAAACCTTTTGTCCTATATCGGGTATATCCCGAAACCGGTATATCCCGAACTAGAAGAGCCCCTTTACTGCAAGTGTTAGTCTTATTCTTCCTCACGAAGGAACCGAAACCGTACCGGTGTTGTCCTATATGGTAGAACTAGAAGAGCCCCTTTACACTTGCAGTAAAGGGGCTCTTTTGTAAAGGGCCTCATCCCGGTCCCGTTGTCCCATTCCGGTATATCCCGAAACCGTACCGGTGTTGTCCCGTTCCGTTTGGGATCTGATTATTTTGTCCCGTACCGGTCCCGTACCGGTTTAAAACGGGACATGGCCAGGACATCGGAAGATTATCCCGAACCGTCCCGTTGTCCCGTTTGTAATAACTATATAGTTTTTAGCATGTAACTAGTTTGTCGTGCTATCTCAAAAAAATAAAATATAGTATGTTTTTAGTTTTTCAAGCCCAATTTTTTAAAATAAAAATAGTACCTAACATAAATATTTACTAACTTAGGTTTGTATCTCACTCTCTATATATTTGCATATGAGTATCCCACATCTAGAACACATAATTTTGAATAAATTAATTCTTTTTATGCTTTGTTTTAAATTCTAATTTCTTCTTTTGCTAAACTTAATTAAAATCTAACTCCATAGTTTTTAGTTTTTCTTTTTTGTGAAAGATAACTTGTTAAGAACATTAATTAACTTTTAAAATGTTAATATTTTGGTGCATGATACTTTAGAAATGCTAATATACTTTAATTATAAATAATGATTTTTTTGTTTAACAATCTTTAGTTAGTTTGGGACGTTCCGAACCATTCCGAACTATCCCGGTCCCGATTTAAATGGGACAGGATTAGGACAAAGGTGTGTCCCGTCCCGTCCCGTCCCGTACCGTTATTATGAAATGGGTCGGGACCGGGATAACCCTAATCCCGGACCGTCCCGACCCGTGCCCACCCCTACCTATTTCTATTGTAAAAGTTGAGTTTGGAAGATAGTTTTGCACAACCTAATGAGACTGATAGACGAGCCTCTGTTTTCCTCCGTTTATATACATTATTGATTATACTTACTATTCATTCACTATTTCCTCCCTTTAAATACAAAGAGCCTAAAATCTGAATGTGATGGGAGAAGGGCAATTTCGCTGATAGTTCCAACGTAATGCCAAACATATCATTATCATGTACTACCGGTATAACATAAATATAACTCATTTCTGGTTCTGAAGTGTCGATATTGATTTAGACAGTTGCAACTGGAAGTTCTTTTCTTTCTTTCTTTCTTTTTTTAATACACACATTTAGAAGAATGAGGGTTGAAGTATAGGCTTCCTACCTAAAATTACAAGCTTACATACACCACAAGATTACATAAATCTGTGGTAGAACTAGAAGAGCTAGAACTAGAAGAGCCCCTTTACTGCAAGTGTTAGTCTTATTCTTCCTCACGAAGGAACCGAACAAATTTGGCTCTAACCTCCGCAGGTATGCGTACCGGTCGATAACTTTTGTTGAGCCATACTGCTACACCTCTAGCCTCAAGAATTGGCTACAAAAGCATCATAAGAAAAAGTTTCAATATCTTAATAGTTTCTGCACTTCCATCATTTGCAATGGAGCCAAAGACTCACTATTATTTGGCTTGCGAATATGTTGGAACAAAGTAAAGTGGCTCACTAAATTGTCTGCGCTTCTTTGTTATGAAGCAGCAGTCAGTCCATGCAATTCCCGGTGCGATTTCATTATGGGTCATCCGGAAACAGTCTCTTTGTACTTTAGTACAGAGGTAAGACTGCGTACATCGTCCGACCCCCGCTTACCCTACCGAAGATGGGAGCCTTTGCGGCACTGGGGTAATGATGATGATCTTAATAGTTTCTGCTTCTACGACAAGTCAGTAGAAACTAACCTCTTCATTTGGGAGCTTAAAGATGAAATGCTCAAAGAACAAACGAGCAGCTGATGAGTCATATATCTTCACCTTCACAACAAACCGGTCTCCACTCTGATTAGAAGAGGTAAAAACCAATGACATACAATCAATTGCGTGGCTTCAACCATATACATACACACACACTCACACACACATGCGGGAGGTTTTGATACCACCTTTCTTGTCATAAGCACATTTTATAATTTTATAATAACAACATTTTATCTCTGACTTTTATTTTTCCAATGAATGGCTAAACACTCATTAATTGTCAATATGACGGTTTTTTATTATTCCACATTCAAATAGGGTCATTTATTCAATTATTCTAAAGAATTACAAAAATACCACCTTATGAACTTTAGTCATTGGTGGTAAAAAGGAAGATTATAATATTTTTTAGTCCTTGCAAATTTGGCACATTATTGTTTCAAATCCCTGCATATTTCTCATCCTTGTAATCCACACTATTTTCTTTTTAGGCCCTATCTAATTCCACGCCAATCTTAATTTGGTCGGTTACATAACTCTAAACTTTTAACTTTCTCGTTTTAGTACTTCTTGGAGACTAATGTTGCAGTTGAAACGACATGAAATAATAATTCACGTTTTTAAAATAGCTTTGAATGGCTCGCTAGAATATAAATTTACATATTCTTGAAGTGACATGATAAAGATAGAAAATGCAATAATCGTTCATTTTTATTGACTCACGGGGTGGTTAGGATCAGTGAGAGACTAAAAAGCATAGCAACATAAATTACAAGGATGAAAAGTAAAATAAAAACTTGCAGGACGTAAAACGAAAAAACAGAATATTTGGGGACAAAAAACCATATTTAAGCCAAAAGTGAAAGGTGGAGATGAAATTGTCAAGGTCTGTTTAAGATAACAGGGTTAAGTGTGTATGTGTGTGTGATTGCTCAGTTCAAGATTTTTTCCAGTCTATATTTTGATCATTACTTTCAGATTGAAATACCGGTTAACACTCGTCATGATGACAATCCACAATAAAAATTCTTACTCTTTTAATCAGGTAGTTCTGAACTGATCATTTCTGTATGCCCGGAGAATTTAAGAAACTTTAGGCATGGAATGAAACATAATGTCCAAGATATGAAAAGGCACAAACCCTTAAAGGTGCAAGAAACTTAAGTGAAAGCTCTGAAAGTGCTAATGCATCACCAGAGCGTGCAACTGCATCAGCATTTACACCTATTCTTTCCAGAAGTTCATGACGAGCTGTGTAAATCACAATCAAAAAACGAGTTCCATGGATTATGATAAACCAAATTCTATTTAGCTTTACTCCAATAATATAGAATCATGAGAAAATTAGTGAAAGAGAACTTAAAAAGAAACATTTCATAAATCAACAACGTCTACTAGAAAAGAACTCTTTATACACACTTATTTGTACAAACCCCATACACATGCCTGTCAAAAGGCTATTCACAAAATAGCTTGTTCACAAGCGTGTGTATTGGGTGTGTACAAATAAGTGTGTACAAGCAGCAGGGCTGACTAGAAGATACCATCAGAAAGAAATTAGGTTCACAAATCATAAATTTAACTTTTCACTTCTATAACAGCAAACTTTCCAGAACCCCAAGAACTTGTTCGCTGATGATACAAAGCTGTACAGTCACTCAGAGTTATATATCTAATGCAGCATATAACTAAGAGTAAAACTTGTCAAAAGGTACTACCAATCATGAAATATGACATTCCAGTGAATAGTTATGACTTAGGAGTAGTCATCAAAGGTACCATCATGGCATCACATGCCAAGCTAACTACATAGAGTGATGGAGCATAGATGAGTATAGCAGAAATGACAAGAAAAGGCGTATGTGTCATATGACGCTTAATGTAAATGGTTTAGCAGAATAATCTCACCATGTTGGCAATAACTTGCATATACAGCATTGTTTACCACACCATATTGATCCAATTCATAGTCCCGCACTTTAAGTTCAACTTCATGTAATCCAACCATTCTGCTAAATAAAGCCGCAATTCAGATTTTTAAGTAGGACAGTTGAAATCTCATCCTCATTTTTTTTAAAAATACTTTAACACTAACCAATCATATAACTAACAAGCCAACATCCACATTATGAAAGAAAATGGTGGCTTCAATGTTGGAAAAATAAATAAATTCCCTAACATGTTTAGTAGTGTAGGAAAGTGCATGCTTTCCCTTGAAATAACATATCATGCATGGTTTGGAATTGAAGTACAACATATGACTGAAATGGTTAGCTTATTTTCTCCAAGAAGATCTTTCACTACACTATGTATCCCGGACAATGCTACAGAAATGAAATAGTTTTAAGTTACTTCCAAATGTTTGAATTTATCTTGGAAAATGGAAAGGAAAATGAAATACGATCAATGATTTTGAAAACATTAGTCGCTTAAATTGCTAGGAATTTACAAGTAAATTAATAAAAATGAATTCGAACATACATTAAAAATAAATTTATTGATATTGAACAAATCTTTTTTTTCTTCAACATTTTCTTGCCTCCTAAAAAAGTAAGTACTATATTTCGTCTCCATTTTCTTTCCCTGGCATTTGAGCATTTCTCTTTTCCAAACAGAGCCCTAAATTATATTCTAGTGAATTACTCTCCCTAGATAAAAATCGAAGATGAAGTTCCCGAATTCAATATTCTACATAATCAGTTCTTGCATAATTGTGAATTCATCACCAGAATGAAACAGGTATCCGATAACCAAATATTTAAAGAGAAGAATTTAGAGAATAGTTCTTGATTCTCCCAAAATAATAAATTTTGGGAAATAGTACCCTTGGCCACCTTTAAAGTCAAATGCAAGGGCAGCGCAGCTTCTAGCAAGGGTGGCAGCTGATCGGAGGAACATCGGTAGCCGGAGCTGCGGACCAAGACTGGCCGTGAAGTGGGCGGATGAGCGGCGAAAGATGGGCAAATCAGGATTCTTACGTGAGGCGGGTGATGCAACGTGCATAGAATGAGAGATCAGGGATCGAGACATTGCTTCACGAATTCAGTTCGGGCTGTTTCGCGACGGATGTCGGAGAAAATGAGGACAGTGGAATTTGATGCCAAGTCTAGGCACCCCCAATTTATGTACTAGTATTTGGTTTCTCATCAGTCATTTGATTCAAAGGGTTGGATTACTCGTCCTTACCTAGGTGGTTGATGGTTGAGTGTGTCAAAAGAGAACCGAGCTACTGTATGTGGCTATGTGCTAACAAGAGAGAACAAAGCTACGGTGTATGGAATTAGGTTTTATTCCCCTATTTCCCAGAATGAGTTTACAAATATATATACATAGGTACATGCTAGGCTACGAGGCTGTAAAGCCATACAAGGAAAGAAACGAATAAAGAAAGAATAAAAATATCTTCCTAAGAATTAGCTTACACAATATTCTATACTAAAGTGCGTACATGCAAATATGGAAATACAAGGATTATGAATGATACGGCTCCAACACCCCCCCTCAAGATGGAGCGTGGGGGTCAAAAACGCCCATCTTGGACAGTAAATAATGAAATTGCTCGGCGCCAAGTGCTTTTGTAAAAATATCCGCCAATTGTTCAGTCGTGGGTTTGTGAAAGAGACAAATGGTGTGCCGCTGAACATGATCGCGAATGAAGTGACAATCTATTTCTATATGTTTGGTCCGTTCATGAAACACCGGATTAGAGGCAATGTGGAGAGCCGCCTGATTGTCACAGAGTAGGCGGATAGGGGCCGCATGAGTGACGCCGAGTGAAGAAAGAAGACTCTTGAGCCAAACAAGTTCACATGTGAGAGAGGCCATAGACCGGTATTCGGCCTCAGCCGAGGATCGAGAGACTGTTACTTGCTTCTTAGTGCGCCAAGAAATCGGGGATGACCCAAGTGACACAAAATAACCAGAGAGCGACCGCCGAGTAAGAGGGCAGCTGGCCCAGTCAGAATCACAATAACCGGTGAGAGAGAGAGATGAATCACTGCGGAGAAGAATGCCTTGACCGGGATGACCTTTGAGATAGCGAAGTACCCGAATAGCCGCCTCCCAGTGACCAACGCGTGGGTGCTGCATAAATTGTGTCAAGATATGAACGGAGTAAGAGATATCCGGTCGGGTGAGGGTAAGGTAAATAAGTTTCCCAACTAGCCTTCTGTACTGATCAGGAGTAGAAAGGAGCGGTGTAGCATCAAGCTGTAAACGATGATTTTGTGGCATAGGAAACTCGGCCGGTTTGGCGCCCCCCAGCCCAGTCTCAGCAAGCATGTCAAGTAGATACTTACGTTGGCACAGAAAAATCCCAGAAGAATTGCGTGCCACTTCAAGCCCCAAGAAATACTTCATATGACCAAGATCTTTGACCGGGAATGACTGAGCGAGATAAGCCTTGAAATCACTGATCAAGGAAGAGCTATTACCGGTGATGAGCATGTCATCAACGTAAATAAGGACACAAAGAATTTGATTAGGCCGGCGAAGGGTGAACAGAGAGTAATCAGCATAAGATTGAGAAAATCCATATTTATGAAGAGCGGCAGTCAACTTTGAAAACCAACAACGGGGAGCTTGACGCAAACCATATAAGGACCGTTGCAAGCGGCAAGCCTGGCCCGGGGAAGACGTATGAAAACCGGGCGGAAAATGCATGTACACCTCTTCACGAAGATCCCCATGCAAGAAAGCATTGTCAACGTCCATTTGGTGTAATTCCCAATTTCGAATGGCGGCAACAGCTAAAATAGTACGGACGGTAACCATTTTGGCAACTGGAGCAAACGTGTCATGATAGTCAATTCCCTCGATTTGTCGGTTACCACAAACAACCAGACGGGCTTTGTAACGGTCCACGGACCCGTCACTTTTGTACTTAATTTTATAAACCCATTTACAAAATATAGGTTTCTTTCCGGGAGGTACCTGTTGAATAGACCATGTCCCATTCCGTTCAAGAGCATCAATTTCCTGTTGCATGGCCAACCTCCATTTCGGGTCCCGAACAGCCTCTTGATAACTACGAGGTTCAACCTCAGAAGAAATAGCCGCAAGAAACGCCCGATGTGATACAGAAAAACGACTATAATTTACATAATTAGTTAAGGAATAAGGAGTACCTGAGGCCGGCGTGGAGGAGTGCGCAGCAGGGGGTGTGTCTATTTTAACCGAGTTGAGACGTATATAGTCCGAATGCCATTTGGGTGGGGCCCGGGTTCGCTGGTGTCGAGGGAGTAAGTCGGCTGGAGGTGTGGGAACAGAAGCTTGAGTACTAGGCTCCTCAGGTTGTGACTCATTATTCTGGGTGGGAGAAGACTCCCCCACGTTACCATGGAGTGGTGCACAGGTGTCAGAAGAAGAATTTTCTTGCTGGTCGTTGCCTATAGTGGGAGTATTCAAAACCGGCTGTGACGTGTCCAGTGTAGCGGGCATATCAATAGTATCCTCTACGTAAAATTGAATTGGCATGGCAGGAAGCTGTTCAAAATTATTACTCGCAAACTGGGGCATGTGCTCTTGACGCGCAAAAGGAAAATGATTTTCAAAGAATTGCACATCTCGAGAAACAAAGTGTTGTTGATTTTCCAGATCATAAACCTTCCATCCCTTTTGGGAGTAAGCATACCCCAAGAAAACGCACTTCCGACTTCGCGACTCGAATTTATCACGAGACCGAATAATATTTCTTGCATAACACAGACATCCAAAAACCCGAAGCTGATTATAGAGAGGGGTTTTGCCAAAAAGTAACTCATAGGGTGTTTTTCCATGGAGAATTTTAGAAGGCAGCCGATTAATCAAATAACCCGCTGTCAAAATACATTCGCCCCAAAATTGGATAGGAAGATGTGCGTGAAAACGGAGGCTCCTTGCCACATTTAGAATATGCCTGTGCTTGCGCTCCACACGCCCATTTTGTTGGGGAGTGTCGACGCATGAAGTTTGAAAAATAATTCCCAGACCAAGAAAATAATTTTTCATGCATTGAAATTCTGTTCCGTTGTCGGTCTGGATTATTTTAACATCCTTATTAAATTGGAGTTTAGCCATTGCCAAGAAGTTTTTCAGAATCCCCCCAACTTCATTTTTCTCACGCATTAGATAAATCCAAACAGCACGGGAATAATCATCAACTACTGTAAGAAAATATCGTGACCCACATGATGCCGGTGATCTATATGGGCCCCACACGTCACAATGAATCATTTCAAAAACCGCAAAAGCACGTGCATTATTTATTGAAAACACTTCTCTTGTTTGTTTTCCACGCATACATGCATCACAAACTTTATTTTCATATGAAATATTTAAACTACCAATAGACTTCATCACACCGTGTGAAGGATGACCCAATCGGCAATGCCACAGCTCTGGAGTCTCCACTACCGCAGCAAGACACTTAAGACTTGGATCCATCCCTCGGAAAAAATAGACACCCCCACGCCGTTCACCCACTCCAATCGGCGTCCTCGTAGGTAGGCCCTGTATTACACATAACTTATTAGTAAATGTTACATCGCAATTCAAATCATCAACCAGACGTGCCACCGAAATCAAATTACACGTAAGGCCAGGAACAAAAAGAACTTTATTCAAAATTAAGTTCCTATTGATGTACACACGCCCAATATGAGTGGCATGTGTGAACTGCCCGTTGGGAAGTGTCACTGGAGTTCTGGTAATATCCCTTTTGTCTAAAATTAATTTAGAATTGCCTGTCATATGGTAGGAGGCACCTGAATCCAAAAGCCATTCAATACCGGGATCCATACCTGATAATTTTTCTGTGGTATTAGTCACCTTACAATTATTCAACATGTTGAGGAATTGGGTCCACTGCTCGTTACTGATCATAGGTCCATGCTGCGAACCAGGAGCTATTCCTTGCACCTCCGGAATCACGTCGGCAACTGTCCCTACTGCATGTGCCGCTGCTTTGTCGGCGCGGCGGCCGCTTCCATCTCCATCGCGTCCTCTTCCCCGTCCAGGATTATTCACCCACCACTCCGGATAATTACCTGTTTTCTTAAAACAATTGTCCAGTGTGTGCCCTTTCTTTTTACAAAAAGTGCAGACCAGTTTGTCACGAATTGAGCGTGGCAGAGGCATTTGGGCAGCAAGGGCCATAGCTTCAGTTCGTTCATGGGTGAGATTTTTATGTCTTTCCTGCTGTATAACCATCTGGTAGAGCTTAGTGAGAGGAGGCAGTTCGTCCGCGCTAAGAATATTGGACCGGAGACCCTTGAAACTTGCTGCATCAAGTCCAAGTAAAAAATCATGAGATTTTTCAGTTTCAACTTTGGCAAGAAACTGTTTCTCCAGATTACATGTGCATCCTTTGCACACACATCGCGGCACATTCCGGTAGGGTTCGTAATCATCCCACAAACCCTTTAAGCGTCCGAAATACGTTGTCACCGAGTCACCATGCTGCTTGCAAGCCTGCAGTGCCTCCTTGATCTCATGCACCCGAATAGGGTCACTCACCTCGAATCGTTCTTTCAAGTCCTTCCACAAATCGCACGCGTCATCCATGTATGTGATATTTGTTCGCAAACTGGGCTCAATAGAAGTCATTATCCAGCCTACGAGCATTGAATTCACACTGATCCAGTCCTCGATATCCTCCGCCCGTGTTGTGGGGCGTTGGATAGTTCCGTCCAGAAATCCGGCCTTCCTTTTTGCCCGGAAAGCATTTGTCATGGAAGTCCTCCATTCCCTATAATTTGATTCCCCTCGAAGTGTCATGCCACATATGTTGACACCCGGAGAATCACTAGGATGTAAAAAATAAGGGGATGAAGGGTCGTTAATTTTGCGTCGGACCGACTCATTCCTCAAATCTGGGTTTGAGTGGGCGGTTTCAGTTTCGGGGGTCGTCATGGCAGAAAATAGGTGAAGGTCGTTGAGATGTTGAGAGGTCTGCTGGCAGGATCGTGTCACTGCTCTGATACCATGTCAAAAGAGAACCGAGCTACTGTATGTGGCTATGTGCTAACAAGAGAGAACAAAGCTACGGTGTATGGAATTAGGTTTTATTCCCCTATTTCCCAGAATGAGTTTACAAATATATATACATAGGTACATGCTAGGCTACGAGGCTGTAAAGCCATACAAGGAAAGAAACGAATAAAGAAAGAATAAAAATATCTTCCTAAGAATTAGCTTACACAATATTCTATACTAAAGTGCGTACATGCAAATATGGAAATACAAGGATTATGAATGATACGGCTCCAACAGAGTGATTGGCAAAATTAAACAAAATTGGTATGGGTGTCAATTGCTACCCCATTTATACTCATATATAAACCATCCATCATTTTTACCTCACTCCCTTCCCCATCTC